CTCTAAAATCCAGCCATTATCGATTCAGTCCTCTTCTTTAGTCTAATCTATAAATTTGTCAAGAGTAAGTTATTTTCTGAAAAGAATTAAAAATATGTAAGTTTTTAACCTCATAGATTGTTAGGATTTTCAAGTTAGAGTGACGAAACTACTTGACTTCTCAGCGTAATAGTTGGTTGGTTTTTCTACAATCCTTGAAAATGTAAAGAATTAATGGACGTCATTTATAAAAATTTTGAATTATAAAAAAATGCATCAAACTCAAGGCAATGTGTTAAAAATTTTGAGTAAAACAAGAATTATTAAATAAATGAGATGAATATTATAATGGTGAAGCACCCTTGTTATATGATGATGAGGTTGTTAAGAGAGACTAGTTTTATCAGCTCACCCAAGTTCTTATTCCTAAATATTAAATCAAAAGAGTATAATTATCTTTCCAAAATTCACATGGACCAAAGATATTTATTAACTGTTTTTTTCGTTTAGTTAATCTTTTGAAGCCCCATTATTAGTTATTCATGGACTACTATTTCGGAAGTAAATAGAGATTTCTATTTTAAACTGGAGCAAATTATTCGAAGTTTGGAATAATTAAACTGATCCTAAATGATATAAATTCTATGTCTATGAATAAATATCGAATAAAAAAATTTATAATAGAAAAAAATTTAATATTAATATAATTTATTTTTTAGAAGTATGAGAATAGATTATAAGGTTTAACAATAATGTTTATCTATATCAAATTTATTTCAAACTAGATTTATTTTCTTCTTACTGATAAATTGAATATAATATGATGTATTATTTAAGTATTGGATCTGAAATCATTCATTAAAGTTAAAAAAAAATTCTAGAAGATGAAATTATTCTTAAATATATATATAAAGCAAAAATAGATTAAAGTGAGTCAAAAAATAATTAGATAGTTTATTCTTATTTTTAGTTTAATTATCTCGCATAATAATCAAAACTTTTTACTTTTATATGAATTGTATAATGATAGTTGGTCAATATTATAATAATTAAAATAAAAATCCATTTAAGTTAACATGAAATAGCTCTTTTTTTTTTTGCTCTAACAATTTCTAATAAATATCTTAATCTCAGAAATATTAATTTTTTTAGAATTGGAGTAGAGAGTTGTTTAGGCTATCTTCTATAATCCTATAATTATCCATCAAATCCATACTCAACTTTTACGAAAAAATAATTCTTTGATGTTATCTTAAAAAAATTATCCTCTTTATTAAATATATTAAGAAACTTTTCTTTTTTCTGTTCTAATCACTTGAATTTCTTTTAATTATTTCTGGTACAACAAAAGTTTACAATTATATTTAATTGTAGCATATGATAAAGGTATTGAATTTTTTATCATTCATTATTTCAGATATAACTAATTTCATACTTTAAATTTGATTTATAATCTGCTCATTTTTCTAAAGAAGCTATAAAATGAAGACCAAAAAATAAGTTCTCTAGAATTATAATTTTCATTCCTATATATAAATGACTACTAATTTATTTCTGCATCTATTAATAATTAAAAATTAAAAATTATTCACTCTTCTAATTTGGATTACTTATAATTAGGAAAAGAAATTCAATATACATTAAACCATAATAATTCATTTATTTAATAATTCATATGTTGAATATGCTTGACTTTTTTCATCCCAATAGACCAAATATTATCCATTGTTTGTGATAGTTCCATAAATATCAATTGTGTCACAATTCAATTAATCAACTATTTTGAACTTCCCATTTTTAATCTCTATAATGATATAAATATAGGTTTTATGTCTTACTACAATTAAATTCCTCTCCTTATTGTAAATTATTGGAAAACGATATTCATCAACTTTCTCATTATTTATAATTAATTGAATTGTCTTCTCCTAATTTTCATAAAAGACTCCTTCTTTTAATTCAAATACATAGAGTTTATCTATCTATTTACCACCAGTTATCCAAATAAATTAATTATCTTTAATAAATTTAATCTTAAGTCCTTCTTCTTAAATTGACTATGTAACAAAATGTTTGAATTCAAACTTATCTTATTCTTTTCTTTCCCAAATTATAATTTAATTCTTACTATCTGCACATGATACTAATTATGTTTCTGATTAATTTAAACTTAATGCATTAACTTTATTTTCATGTTTATCCAATGAATACATGTATGTCAATATATTTTTATTAAAATCAACCTTCCATACTTTAATTGATTTATC